AAGTGTTTGTCTAAGGAGAGTTATTCATCATGATGCAAGAATTCTTGTAAAAAAATGTAGGGAAACTATCTAGAAGTGAGTGCTCCAGAATTAACTCAGCAACTTATGACTGTAACTGGAAAAGAGTGAATCCAAAGACTGTGCCATTGAATTTCTTTGATCAGTAGATTTAATGTTTGAGCTCCCAGAAGAAAACCTCTGATCTCATCTCAAAATTGACTAGATTTCGCAAATAAATCTTTAAACAAAGACATAGCAGGGAGTATCAGATTTTTAGAAAATGGTGCTATTTATTGATTTGCCAATGGAAAGATGAAGAAATTAAAACGAAAAATTTTATACCAGTTGTTGAACATGGTGCAGGGAGTTTAATTGCTTGAGGCTGAGTAGAAGCAGCTGGAGTAGGTAAATTAGTTTTCATAGATTATAGATCTATTGGTGTATCTGAAACTATTGCAAATAATCTACATTTACCTGCAAAGAAAGAAAAGAGATTAAGAAGTAGCTGGGTCTTTTCAGCAAGACAATGAACCCAAATGTACTTCTAAAATTGTTGGGTAATAGATTCTAAGATTGACTGGGTACTTAATAGAGAATGGATTCTCTATTAAGCCAACAGAAGTACACAGCCAACTGCATGTAACACCACTGTCACAAGATTGGAACCCTCTAGAATACATATGGGATGAACTTACCATGAATCCGCCAATATACTGTTGCAAGCGAAGAAACTGTAAAGGCAGTAATTGAACAAGTATAGTCTGAAATTACACCATATGAAAACAAGTCTGGTTCTGTTAACCCTTTGAGCACCATGGCCGGCTTTATCCCTTCATAAGATTTTTTATCACTTGTCAAGGTTAAAGCCAGACAGATTATGAGCAGTGATGTGCAAATTATCGATTTTTGTAATATTTTGTTGAAACTTAATGAACAATGGTTTATTTTCTGTAGACATAAATCTATGTGTCAGAATTTTATTACAATTTATTTACTTTTTAAAATATTGGTATAAAGATAACTAAAGGTGTTTTGATGACTGTATGTAGACTTTTATGAAATTTATGTCAGACCCAATGTGACAGTTTTGCTTATGTGAAAATTGCTGTAAAAAGCCTTGGTAAACACTCATTTCTCTACATTTTGGCATATTTTGCAACAAATATTCCTAATTTTGAAGATTACATTCAATCAAACTTCCTCTAAAATAAAGTTACTTCTTTGTTCCAAAAATCTCATTTTTCAAAGCAGAAAAGGGTATAAAATTAGTTGTAAGGTTTTTCTTTTGCAAATCATAAAATTTCAAAAATTACATAATCATTTGCTTTTTTCACCTATTTTTGACAGCTTAGATATATTGAAATGCCTAATAATTTCGGTCAAGGATGTATATTTTCAATATTGTATTCATGATAATTAAAAAAAAGCATAGAGCAGAGGAGCAATGCTGTTTCTTCAATATCTGCTTTTTTATCATAATTGGAAATACTGAAATTTATCTTTGAGCATAATATTGCTAGTGTCTATTTACAGTGGTGGCCAAAATTGTGGACACTTTTGGAAATGTTTATGTTTTTGAACTTTGTATGCTTATAGAAAACGTTACATTTCACAAAATGCAAACTTGTATATATATCATTTTAAAGAGAATTTATAACTGAATTCAATACGAAACACAAAATTCAATTATTTTCAATACAAAAAGAGTTAAACGATAATAGTTATCGATATACATTAGATAGTGATGATCGCAGTGAGTTATCAGTACTTAGTAGGGTACCCTTAATTTTTGATTACAGCTTCACATCGACATTTCATTGAGCTGACAAGAGTTTTAAGCTCTTCTTTCGATGTTACATGATGTCAGGAAACAATTATAGCCTCAATTAGTTCCCTTTTATTTGATGGGCGCCTCATTCGGACAAGAGTTTTCAAACGGTGCCACAAATTTTCGATAGGATTGAGGTCAGGACTGTTTCCCTGCCATGACAACAATTTAATGCTCTTTGTATGAAACCACTCTTTCGATATTTTGGCCGTGTGGCAAGGAGCAGAAACCTGCTGAAAAATAAACGAAGCATTGTTGGGAAAGAGATCTCTGATGGAAGGTAGAAGTTTTGGTTCTAGAATAGTGTCAATGTATTTTCTGGCATTCAGTGTCCCATCAATGACATGAAGGCAACCAATAGCATCTGCTGACGTGCATGACCAAATCATAACACTAACTGGGTTCTTCACAGTTGCTTGAATGCAGTCAGGATGTAGCTCTTCTCCTATTCTACGTCTTACATATTTTCGCCCATCACTACCGAATAACGATATCTTAGTTGCATCACTCCATATAACTTGTGACCACTGATCATCTGTCCAATTAATGTGTTCCTTTGCCCACTGTAGTCTTTTTTTTTTTTTTTCGTTGCTGAAAATTAAGATAAGGCTTTTTTCGTGGAATTCTACCTCTCAGTCCAAATCTTCTCCTGATTGTTCTTGAACTGACGGAAACACCAGCATCATTCAGATCACTTCTGATGGCCGCTGATGACATTTTTCTATCTTGGAGACATAATCTTTTTATTCTTATCTCATCAATAGAGGTGGTGCACCTTTTTCGGCCTTTTCCTTCTTTGTTTTTTATTGAATTTGTCTCCTGATATCGTAAACAAAACTTTCGGACTCCAGATGTAGTCACTGAACCACCCACCTGTCTTGCAATTTCAGCATAGGAAAGACCACTTTCTCGTAACACAATAATATTACATCTCTGTCTAGGTGTCCAATCTACTCTTTTATTTGATGTCATTGCTTCTTGACTAAATATTAAAAATTTTTACAAAAATTCCTACTTGTAATTGCAGTGTTTAAGAAACAGGTCCTCCTTCTACAGAACAAAGCAAAATAATGAATTTTTTCAAGTGTAAACATGATGTCAGCTTCTACTGGCAGTTACTAACATTTGATTGGTTCTCAGAACAAGAACAGTGATTGGCCAGGAAAGCTAGACATTACAAACCACTTCATAACTGTGTTTTTTATTTATATTAAAGTATATATAACTTTTTTGTATTGCAAATAATTGAATTTTGTGTTTTGTATTGAATTCAGTAATAAATTCTCTTTAAAATGATGTATACAAGTTTGCATTTTGCGAAATGTAACATTTTCGATAAGCATACAAAGTTCAAAAACATAAAAATTTCCAAAAGTGTCCACAATTTTGGCCACCACTGTATATCAATATTGGCAAATTTCTTCCAGAGCAGAACAGCCAGACCAAAAAGATTTTTCTCACTAATGGAAGATTAATAGAAACTGATTTTAGAACCTATTTCATGTTTATATTATTGTACCTGTATCTCTTTATGTAACAGTGTTATATTGCTTATTTAAATATTTTCATTTTCTATATAATTTAGCAAGTCTCTTTTATATACCTTTATTATTATAGATTTTTCTTGAAAGTTATATAGGCATATATCTATTCTTGTGTACTTGCTATATCTGTGAATTTAGACATATTTTGACACTGAATTTTAGTTCAAATCGGTAACAAAATAACATAATTTAGAAAGACTGGAAAACAAAATTGAAATGAAGAAAAATTATAAAATTGAATCTCTATCATTGTAAGAATTGTGTAACAAAACATTTTTAACCACTGTGTGCGGTAAACTGTTTTGATATTTTTAATGGATAAATTCAAGAAAGAGGAAAATTTGCCCTAATGCTGCTGAACTTTAATCTCAAAGTACATTACATAGCTCATGTGAAATATCAAAATGACACTTTCTTTTCTAATGTACCAAATTTAATACATTGAAAATAGCGTCAAAGTAAAATGAGGTTTTGGAAATGGTGTATTCTCAGTACAGTTGGCAAGTTTCTTCATTTGTGGAGAAAAATTGGAAGGAATTCTTTTCCTAATTTCATATTATTATGTTCATATTTTATTCATGTATAAAGTTACTATCTTACTAATTGGTTTTAATGAATTATTATCTGCAAATTTCATTTTTATGCCTATGATAAAGTCTTTTGTTAATATGAGTATGTGTGTGTATACTTTTTAAACTTTTAAGTTATCTGCTAGTACAGCTGTGAGTATGGATGTATTTTAACTTTTTCACATTGGTAGAGGCCAAAATCTGTTTCTCCCAAACATCTGAAATGCCTGTATATATGAAATTTGGTTCAAATGGATTTCTTTTCCCCATGCCAAGTAAAATGCTACTCTGTTAACATGACCTACTTAAGTGAAGCGATTACTTCTCTCTAGGGGATCTGTGTGCAGTTTCCCTTTAGGAAAGGATTACAACTGTAAGTACCAATATCTAAACGTTGGCACTAAACAAAGGTGAGGAAAGGTGCATTCAAATAACGGAGCTGCTTTTAGTCGTTTCAAAATAAATATTGGTATGTCATTTAACAACTCCCAAAACTAAATGAGCCATCTTGTAATGTGATGGTTGAAACCACCAGGTAGAAAATGGGTGCGAGTGTTTGGGCAATCTGCCGAAGTCTGAATGCTTCGGTGTTTTGGGCGACTTCACTGTGAAAGAGTTAAAACTGAATTTTTGATCTAAGAGTAATAAAAGTATAAGCTTAACATCTTTCTTTAGAAAGAGCAGAAATAAAAATTGAATTTACGTAATCAACAGTGTAATATATTGTAAATTAATGAGAATGCTACAATTTTCACTCGATTTTCAAGGGATAATTATTTAATCACTTTGCATTTTATTTCAGAAATAATAAAACTTTTTTTTAAAATATTAAACAGTTATTAGTAAATTTTTCTCCTTAAGAAGCTCTTTGAAAGCACTGTCATTCACGTCTTCCCTTTTTCTTCTGGTTTTTTCCAGTTTCTTCCACTGTCCTAAAAGAAACATATTCTTCTGGAAGAAACCCAATCCTAGTTAATATATTTGATTTTGATCATTTATGATAAATGTGTACATATATGTATATAAATATATGTGAAGCAGTTCTTATGCCTATATTAGCTTAAGATGTCAGTCGCTCCTGTACTTAAAGATGTATCAGTTACGAAGAGATGAAGTGCGATACCTCCATCGAAGCATTAGCACTTTTCTTAAAGTAAGAAACTTTTATTATATTTATAATTGAATTTTTGAATTCTTTGTCCCAAAATCTTGCTTTGTCCATCAGGCTAAGTTAATATGAAAAAAAAAAAAAAAAAAAGTACTTATTCTACATTTGGAGAATACAACCAAATTATATGGATTTTATATATGTTAGCTTAAGTTATAAAACTTAATTTCTCTTTCACTGCTCTCTAAGTTAAAGCATATTCTTAAATTTTTCATTCCTATAATAACATATGATGACATTACAAACTACAGGGTCATTGGTATTTCCTTACATAATCACTCCAAATAAGCAAGAAGAAATTAACAATTCATTATGAAACTTCGTATAGCATGTACAAGCCTAATAAATAGCTCGGCGAATCAGCAATTTTCGAGGATACGAAAAATATCGCAAGTTCTTCAAATCACTTAATAGTAAATTCTAAAACTCAGTTCAACTAACTGTATTTTAATCACTGACTCTTGCAGCTGAGTAAGAGCTGATTTTCCCATTTTGGGAACCATATTTATGTAGTGTAACATGGGCTTCAGGAACAATCAGTCCAAGGGTTTCGAAAATGTATTTTGCTGAAACTTTCAGAAAATACCAATTTGGTTAGAAATCGCTAAATGTCTTTAAGAACCATATGCAATGCAACCATATGATCATATATTTTGTTCTATTTGAACTATTTTTTATATAGTAAACATTGTTGAACTCAGAATTGAAAGATCAATAATTCTGTGTGAGAAATAATTTTTTGCATATAAAATATGTAGCCCCAAATTGGATTAGTCACAAAATAAGCATAAAAATTATAGTCATAAAAACAACAAATAAATAAATAAGTAAAACAATACAGAGTATTACAACAATACAAGAAAACAAAGCAATCAAAAAGGATTTAAATATTTATAACATTAGACTCTCTTTAAGGACTACCCTGAATAAAGCAACAAACCTTCATTCCCAAAATAAGATGCAAATTTTATTGTAATGCATTACCTTAGATTTAGAAGAAGCAGTTCTCTGCATGCTACATTGTTCAGTTTCCTGATCACTTGAAAAGGCTTTTTTTAGGATGTCTGGGGCTTAGGCGAGATTCCTTGGCAATGCTAGGGGTTTGACACCCAGTCTATATCATGGAGAAATCCAATTGTCATCAACCACAGTATGTTTGCAGGAATAATGATGATTTTGGTTGTAGTCAGGCTGGCTCTGGGATACAAAAACAGATGCTCCAGTATTGTTTGATTAAATCTCTCTACAGTCCCATCTCAGTAGATATAAGAAAGCAGTTTTGAGTCTTTTCCATGCCAAGAATTTTACATATTACTTTAAATATGGCAGGTGTGGTGTTCATTCGTCAGTAAGGGTGAATAAGTAAAGGTACACCAAATCATGAAATATGGCTTTCTCTAGAATTTTAGCAAGGATTTTTCTTAATCACACGAGAGAGCCTTTCTCAAGATGTCTGCAACTTTGAGAAATAGATTCATAATTTTCTCTTCCAAATTTAGAACACAAAAATGTTATTTTCAAGGAATTGTGTGTTGAAACAAATTTGCTATCAGATAGTTTACTTATGCAGTGGTAAACAGTTTTCATAACAGAAGGAAACTTTTTTTTATTGTATGTATGTTCAATTGTGTCTTCTTCCTTTAGCCATAATAAATCTTTTGTCTAAAGAATTTTTTTAAATATGCATATTTATTAAAAGTTAAATAGTTTTTTAGTAATAATCTAACTTTTAAAAACATCTAGAAAATTTAGTCAAAAGAAAATTCTCACTAATTGTTTTCTAACCAGTTTCATAGCAATAATATACAAAATATAAAATCAGTCTAGCAGTTATAGTTCTTTCTTACAGGCGGTAAAACAGAACTTAGGATTTCAGTTAATGAAAAACCATAGGAACCTGTGTAACAATAATTTTTAAATCTTGCAAAATCATTAAAGATGGTTCTTTTTTTAAATGAGTTTTCATGTTCTGCATTGGAATGGATATCAGATTGTGTAATATACATTACAAAGTCCGAGATCCAGATGTCCACTATCCGAAATGATCTAAAACCCAGACCTCAAAATATGTATGATTAGAAACCCTTATGTCAAAAAGGATTTCTAAAATCATGTTTTTGCCATAAAACCATTACATTTTTTGCAGCAATCCATTAAATGGAATTGTTGCAAAAAATGAATAAAGATGTATCTGTCTCAAAATCATGCAAAGAGTATGGCATTGGAAAATCAACTGTAAAAATTATTCGTTATGCTAAAAGTGAAGATTATGACAAAGTGATGACTGAATGGATCAGACAACATTGCAGCAAGGGCATGGCATTGACAGGCTCAATGCTAATGTCTCAAGCTAAAATATTTGAAATATCGAAGAAATGAACTTAAAAACTGAGTGCATGTATTTGACAGGTTGGTTAATCAAATCTAAAAATCGCCATGCTATAAGGCAATTAAGAATTTCAGGTGAAAAAAAGCTTCAGCTGATACTGAAGCTGCTGAACTATTTGCAGATTAATTCATTGAACTCATTAATAGTGAAACGTTATCTCCAGAATAGATCTACAACATTGATGAAACTGGTCTTTTCTGGCAATATGTACCACAAAACACCCTGGCAACCTCTATAGAAAAGGCTCCAACTGGTGTCAAAGATTCCAAAGCGAGACTAAGCATGCAGAAGTGATGTAGGGATGCACAAATGTAAGCTTTTTGTAATCGGAAAAAATACATGACCTTGAGCGTTTAAAAGGCGTAAAAATGTTCCCTGTTATATGTCGTGCAAATAAAAGAGCACGGATGATATAAGTGTTAATGAATAATTGCTTTGAAAATCTTTTCATACCTGAGGCTCAGCAGAATTTGGTTGGTTTGTCTGATGATGCAAAAATTGTCCTAATTGTAGACAAGTTTGGCTCATACTACTTAACTTTTTATTGAAAGATAATATTTCTGTATTCTTTCATTCAGGTTGTGGATATCAGAATAGTGCGCACACTGAAATCCAAATATAAAGTAAGTTTTTTTTAAGCCAAATTTAATTGATTGAATAATTGGAAGACTTTCAAGAATTTTTGAAATATTTTTGCATAAAATCTGCTTTGTAGAGCCATTGCAAGATCGTGGGAGGATGTGTCTCCAGATACTTTGAAAAATGCTAGTCATACTTTATGTCCAGTTACCATATTTCATGGTGAGGATTATTAATATGATAGCCGCAAATGGGAAGGTTTTCGGATATTGCAAACCAGATGTGAAATTTTTCAATTAATTTATTTTGTAAAGAAATGTGGAGAAGCAGTACTAAAGGAAGGTGATATAACAGGTTTTCATTGCAGTGATGGTGCCCCAATCACCAATCAATTAGCGGATAGCAAAATCTGTAGTATGGTTCTAGATCCAGAAAATACTTCAACTGATAGTGAAGAAAATGACAGAGAGGTTTATTGAAAATGAAAAAAAATTTTGATTGACAAGTTGGAATTCTCGACACAGCAATTAAAGGACTTGAACAATGGCACTTTGTAACTGAAAAAGAAATTATGTGTATATACAGAATTAAAGATTTTATATTTTCTTATTAAAAAACAATTTAAACAGCTTACATTGAAAGAAATCTTTAATGAAGTAAATATAAACATTAAGATTTTTTTTTTTTTTTTTTTTTTGTAAATTTTGCTTTCCTCTAGATCATAAATAACGATTTCATATTTTTAATTTTATAATTTCTACATGCCATCTTACTAGTTTTAAACTGACGTAGACCGTCAGCTGGAAAAGTCCAAAATCCAGAATCAACGAGTCCGAATTTCAGACTTTATACTATATTAATATGATATTTGCCATGTACTAGCATAATCCTTACTTTGTTCATCCTTATCATATTTGTTCCTTAATCTCCCCGCCCTTTCTGAGCCATTCGTACAGATCATTCTCTGCAGAAACAATTTAGAGGTTGTGTTTCCTCTAGAAAATGTGACCCAAGCTCATTTTGATGCTTTAATGATTAACCTTTTTTCTTCCATGAACATTGCGAAATGTTTAAAGGTAATAAGGTATGCCACAATTATAAAATTCACATATGGTATTAAAAGCTTGTTTTTGCAATGAATAATTTTCTATGAAATGTATTGCTACCAATCAGTTAAAGGTTTAGTATATTACCCAAGAAATGTTCTGTAAAAGCATAATGTCATGAACATTTTAATCTGAAATATGAGAAAATTATCAGAAATAGACATGCATAAAAAGTGTATATATATATATATATTTTTAAATAATCAGAAATATTAAATGGATAAAGTATGCCATATTTCATCGTGCATTGTTTGATTATGACTGATCGATTGTCAAATCTACATCTAGATACACTAACACATTTTACTATCATTCATTTTGTTATTGTTGATCATCACTTTTTTCAGAAAATAAGCAGGAAGTGCTTCAAGAAGGCTGAAATTCTTACATTATTTAATACTTTGATATATAATTTGTATACATTTCGACATGTTAGAATTCTTGCATGCTAATTTGAATACATGCCTAATGGCCATGATATTAAGAACTCAAATTGATGGGAAAAGGAAAAGGTAAAAGCCTTTTCTTGCTATTGCATGAAACATGGGTATTGGATAATAAGGGCTTGTCTAGAAATGGCATGATAAAAAAAAGGTAAGCAAGAATATGTTGCAAGCACTGTAAAATAATAGAAGGATGTGAAGGCAAACAAAATGCAGAAAATTTGTGAGGGGTGTTCAAGTGAAAAGGTACGAAACAACTGTGTGTGCATAACTGAAGTCTTTATTCACAAGTAATCAGCAGAGGCATGAGCACAACTATCGCGGAGGATTTCCCTGTTCCCAGTATTTCTGTGGCTATGACAGGAGCCAGTCCTTTACTGTGTCCTTCAATTTGTCGTCTGAATTGAAGCAAACATATGGAAGTCACAGGACAACATATCTGGGGCTGTAGAACAAATGTTCAAGTTT